ATTTTTTATCTTTTCTTTTTGTGGTTATTGTTGTATCAACAATAAACAAGTATACCTCATGTAATTATTTTGATTGACAAACTCTTGAACGCATATTTAATCTGCCGCAAATATTTTTATATATTTTTCAAGACATATTCAATTAAACTTTATTGAAATTGTCCATTATCATGACAACAACTTGGGTGGATAGTTAAATAAGCTTTTTGTAAACAATAAAAAACAACTTCGTAAATACAAGTTTCAAATATAAATTGGTTAACAAACCCCATCTTCGATTTTTATGAAAACAAAGATGTGTACAGGGGTGAAAATGAAGGTATTAATTTGAAAGTGAATATATTAATTTAGGGTTCATTTTCTTTTAATCTATTGGCCAAAAACGAACTAACATGTAAATCATTAAATTTAAGCCATTTAATGCGACATAACTACAACAACAAACAAGTAAATTTGGACAAAAACCACTATTTCCAACACAGTCATGATTTTTGGAAAAGGAAAATATAGTTAATATAATAGTTACAAAATTATAAAAATTATTATAATTTTCAACACAAGAAATTATAACAATATTAATTATTTACTATACATTATATTATTCATGTATATAATAAATTTATCATTATTTTGTTATTATTCAAACAACACTCGACATAAAAATGATTTACGATACTTTGGGTTGTGTTTCGCGGCCTTCACGACCGGCCTGCGTATGAAAAACACAAACCAAAATGTAATAATGAGCTGCATTAACCAATCTGAACGTCAATATAACATTTTTAAATAACTGCGTTGATAATAAATAAATAAACAAACCATAAAGCTAACACTCACCCACACATTAAAACACACTTAAAATATTTATCAAGTTGTAAACGGGTTGTGTTTTGTCTTAAACCCTGAAAATAAAATTGAATAATAACAAATTTACTATAATACACCGTCAGCTATTTTTAATGGTTTAATTATAACAATTGTTACTATTGATTCATTTTTAAACTTTAGCTGATTATTAAAAACACACAAATTCTTGATGAATTATTATATAACCATTGATATAATTAAAATACTATTAAAATATTAACATGTCGGTATCGTTACAAAACATAATTATTGATTCTTTTCATTTTGTTTGCATTGTTTTTCATTGTCAAATTCAAATCAAAGGGGTTGGCTTAATTTATGAATCATAAAACCTAGAAAAATGCCAAATTTGACATCAAAACCCCTAAATTAATATATCCGCTTTCAAATTTATACCTTCAGTTTCACCCCTGTATATGGCTAATGTAGATTCATCAACAAAGATTTTTTTTTGAAATAAAAACTACCACAAAAAATGGTCCATTTAATGAATAAATGCAATATTTGCTTCTTTTTGACACACTTTGAATACCAACCTTGACATATTTACCAAATTTACTAAAAATAGAAACATTTCATTTAAATATATATAAAAAATCCCACTTCATCAACGCCAAATAATAACCGTTATACGAATCTTTTGAAATTATCCACAAATTTAAAATAATCATTCAATACATTCCTATTACTATTTTGAATTATTTTAATTCTTTTGGGCTTGATTTGACCTACATCATAACCGTTTAAATTTTATATTGTTTGATTTTTTTTTCTTTTCACTTTTAATTCAAAGTCAATAACCAACTAAGGTTTTCAATAAGTGTTGCAATCACAGCTAACATGCACAAATCAATTGTTCAACTAAAGAATCAATTGCTATCTCCATTATTTTGTTGATTTTATCTATATAATATAAATAAATAAATCTCCAAATTTGTTGCTTCAAATGTGTTAAAGCTGCTCTTATAGCAATACCAAATATAAGAGTAAATGTTAAATAAATTGATTCCAATGAATGTTAATATTTACCTTCAACTGTTTTGATTTTTTATAATTCTTCATATACTTCAAACGCCTATATAATCTGAAATGGTTAAATGAAAAGGCAGATATTATTTACCTTTTTTTGTGTAACGTTACTACATAAGCTTCATTTGCTGTTTTGTTATCACTGTTTTTCCATTGTTGACTAAGATTTATCAAGTTTAACAAAATAGCCAACCTCTACAATACATTTATTTTCTTTGAAACAATTTGCTCATTCTTCAAATAAAAATGTTTCTATTTTTTTATTAATATTAAAATCATTATTTTTACATTGAAAATCTTTTAATAAACATTAGTTTTGTTGCTAAATATATTAAAATAAATTACTATCAATCAATAGTTTTGAAAGTCTTATTTTTAATTTCTGGCTAATGTTAGTTCAACAATTTGAAAAAACGAACTGTTTTTAATATTCAGTTCTTTTTTTTCAATAAATTAATCTCTATTTTTATGAAAAAATAATAATAATTATAATTATAGTAAAACAAAAAAATTCATAATGAACGATTTAAGTCGGGATACTCTTTTTCTTTTTATTCCAGACAAGGTAACTGCGCTGTGTTTGGTACAAATCAACAAAGAGTGGCTGTATTCTACCAAACGAGTTTCTTCTTCTGGTGTTATAACTTCAGTTAAAAGCAACCTTACCATGTATCCCAACTTAAGATACATCGAGGGCGATGTAGAAGATATTGAAAACAACTCAAAACTTCTCCGATCAGTTTTGGAAATTTCAGTTAAATACAAAGCGTGTTACTTCACTCGCACTGAAGCAGAATACAATTTCCGTCCAAAAATAGTCTCTATCAAGTCTGTTACAAACTGTTTTACACCTTTCACTGGCCTTCTTGGGATGACAAACCTCCGTTCAATCAAACTACGAGTGTCTTTTGACAACGAAGACTCTGACGACTCCGAAAATGACATTTCAGCTTTTGCGTCATTTTTTGCTGCACTTAAAAAGTTGACTTCCTTGAAGACTCTCTATCTTTACTGCAATTTCTTTGACACGAAAAAAATAATTAAAATGATCGACCTCAAAATAACCGTAATTTTCCTCTTCGACGAGTTTTTCGACTTATCAGAAAGCCTCAAAATTAAATTTCAAGATCACCAAATTACAAGGTGGTGTGCTACAAAATCGTTCTTCGTGTTGTGTCACTCAGCTCTCCTTAAATCGATCCTTTTATATCTCAACTGATTTGATGTCCAATTTCAAAGAGTTTGAAATGTTCTTGGCACAATATTACCCGTCATCACTTGTAATCAACTGTCTTCCCATCGCCAAAACCAAAATAGACATAAGTTCCATTCGACTATTGAAAGAGGCATATTTTGTAACATCGGTTGCTCTTCAAAATGTCGAGAGTGTTCCGGACGTGTTTAAAGATTTGAACCCAACACTCCTCCAGTCTTTATAATAATTTTAAATCTTCATTTTATCTCTGTTAAGGTTTCAAAAGTACCCAACCTCTTATGATATACCCAAACTAACGAAAAAAAGAATTTAATCAAATCCATCGAGCAGGAAATTTGCAGCGAGGTTTTCATTTTTATCACACGCGACATACGCCTGGATGGCCTGAGCCTTTGAGAACCCAAGTCCAGTCAGTCTGTCGATCGCCGCATTGTCTTCAGCAGAGAGTTGTGGTCCAGCTGGTTGAGTAGGTTGTGCTGGTTGAGTGGGTTGTTGTATTGGTTGGGATGGTTGAATTGGCTGACTTGGTTGTTGAGGGATTGGTTGTGAAGGCATTGGTTGTTGTTGCTGTTGATCGTTTTGGTGGGTTTTGATAATGTCGTAGAGCATACCTGGGTTCGCCTGGATCATTTGAGCCAACTGAGGGTTGTCGGCTTGAATTGGGTTCAACAGTGGTTGTAAAACTTCTGGTCTTTCATTGCAAAGTTGGACGAATTGCTCACGAGTGAGAGCGGTGATAGGGACTCCACCTTCTTCGCCTTGGGGTTGGTCAGGAATTTGGTCGAGATTAGTACCACTCAACAAGAATTCGGCAGCAACGTTTGTGTTGTTTTGTGCCTTTTTAAGAGCCTTAATGGCATCATCTCTTGGGAAGCCCATTTCGATCAATTGAGTGATATTTGCTTCAGTTGGTTCAACAGCAGCTTGTTGCTGAGTTGGTTGTCTTTCAAATATGTTAACGGGATTTGAAGCTGGTTGTTGTGGCTGGACTGGTTGTTGAACGGGGACTGGTTGTGGTGTTGGTTGTACTGGAGTTGGTTGTTGGACGGGGGCTGGTTGAGGAGGAGGAGCAACAGTATTCTATGAGTCAATGTCGCTCATTAAAAAAGAAGAGAAACAAACCTTTCTCACGACCATAATAACGAAATCGTTTTCTTTAATGCCGACCGCTTGGATTGTCTGGGTGTCGTCTTTTAACATTCTTGACTTCAAAACTAACGAAATGCTTGCGGCATCAATGTTTTGCTTTTCATGAATCATTTCCTTAAGTTGGCCAATGGTGGTGGCATCTTGGACTTCATATTCACTCGAAGTTCCTTGGACGGTTTTCACGTTGATCTTCATTTTGAACAAAAAGAGATGAGATCTTTTAAATAAAAAGAGGTTGAGGTTTTTCCGTATTAATTCAAGTTTTGTCACCAGTAACTGAAGCTAATTTTTATTGTTAAACTTCAATGTACTTTTTGGGAAGTGTAAGTCTTATTATAAAGTATTTTATCTCAAATATGATTTTTTTTTCAAATTCATAATTGTGTTTTGAATACAATACAAAAAAAAAGTTTGCCATAAAAAAAATAATTCATCTCATAGTTGTATTATATAGTATTATTAAATATTAGTATTTTATTGTAATCATTTTTTTAAACATAAACTATTATCTTTTACATCATTACATAATGTTATTTATAACGTTTATTAATATTAGCCCATAATTTGAAATATTATTATCATTTTAAAAAGATATTTAGATGATGATTTCAATTCAAGAGTTTTTAATATTTAATATTTGATATTTAAATAATGAATGATGACATTTGCGACGGGCGGCCTGAATAAAGATGAAACGCGTCGAGTCTGACATTTTTATATTTAATTATTTATATTATCAATTACATTTTTGATTTTTTAATAAGATAATTAAATAATTTTAAATTACATATCGAAATAATAATATAAATCAAATTGATATTAAACTACTTTTTAAATACAATTGCCACGTAGTAAAAAAATAATAATAATTTTAATAATAATGAATTAATTATCTTTGATTCTATTAATAAAACATTAATTATTTTTTGATGATAAAAAGAGTCAAATATTTCATAAGTGGATAATTATGGGAATTTTTGTTCTTTCAAGAGCGGGCATTTTTAGATTAAAACCAAAAAAGCAGTTTTATATGAAGCTGTTTTTAAGGTTTGGTTGGCCAAAAATGCTTGTTTTTATGATGAACCTCTCTTGGGAAATCTTAATGTAAAAAGCCTTTTGTTAACATACAGATAAGGCACATACGTTTAAATTGATTATTTCAAAACAATTTTTATTATTTAAGGTGTTAGTTAGTATTTGATCGTTTACAAATAATATAACAATCAATTTTTATTACAAATAATAATTTACATACGAATAAAATCCAATCATTTAACAATTATTACAAGAAATGTTTTGAAAGTGTCAAAAACATTTGGATTTTTATAACTCTTATAATCATAATAAGAGTTAAAAGAAAAGTTGAACAAAAATTACGAAACCAAGAAATTTCTTATAATGTTTTTGAATTTAAAAATTAGATGTTTTTCATATGGATTCATTTAATGATTGCACTGATCATATTACTATCAATCGCTTCTTCAATTGAAGTAAATTTAATGTTGCCACTTGATGTTGTGACTTCACAAGGAATTAGGAATCCAGAACAACTCCAAAATGATCTTAACAAGATCAAGTCTAGTGGTGTTGTTGGTGTCATGTCGGATATTTATTGGGGACTTGTTGAGACAAGTCCAAAAACGTACAATTGGGATAGTTATGAAAAATTGGTATCTATGGTGAAGACCACAGGACTTAAATTAAAAGTAGCATTGTATTTTCACAAGTGTGGAAATGGTGTGGGAGATATACCCACAATTCACCTTCCATTGTGGGCGGAAAAATCTATATTAACAAATGACGCATTTTTCAAAGATGCAGAGAATCGTGTTATTGATGAATATATATCCTTTGCGTTTGATGATGAAAAAGTATTTGAAGGCAGAACCCCAATAGAGATATACGGCGACTTTATGGCATCTTTTAAACAAAATTTCCAGAAATACATTGATGATGGGACAATCAAAGAAATTCAAATTGGAATGGGTATAAAAGGGGAAACCAGATACCCATCTTTTCCACTCAACCTTTGGAGTTATTGTGGTGTCGGAGCGTTTCAGTGCAGTGATAAAAAATCGCAACAGAAATTGAAGAACGCGGCAAACGCAACTGGGCATCCAGAGTGGGGACACAACCCAACCAACGCTGGTTATTACAACAACATGCCACCAACATCAACTGGCTTCTTTGGAAATGACGCTGAAAACTATCAAAGTGAATATGGTAAGTTCTTCCAACAATGGTACTTTGACCTTTTGTTAAGTCACACTGACAAGATCTTGTTTTCAGCAAGAACAATTTTTGGTGACAGCTTGTTTCTTGTTGGAAAAATCAGTTGTATACATTGGTGGTGGATGGACGATAGCCATGCAGGTGAAATGACTGCGGGTTATTATAATTCAAATGGCAACAATGCTTATAACACACTTTCAAATATCTTTGAAAAGTACAATATAACATTTGATTTCACTACTCTTGAGATGCTAGGTACTGATGTCAAATGCGGAAGTCAACCAGTCAGTTTAATCGATCAAGCATATTCTGCAGCGTCTTCTGTAGGTCTTACAAAGTGTGGAGAGAATGAGTATGATATGTGTGGGTATGGTGGATGCAACACAAACGGGTTTATACAAATTAATAAGAAAGCTAAAGAACACAATCTTTCTTCATTTAGTTATAACAGAATGACTAGAGCGCTTCTTGATGATGCAACTGCTTGGAAACAATTCTGTGACTTTGTCAACTTAATGAAATAACTCTTTTTTACGTTAATAATATAATTAATAAGTGAAGTTGTATATATCAAAACAACAATAAACAACAATCAATAAACATTGAATTTGACACAATCTTCTATTCCTCTCAAACTATTTTGATTTACAGACAATGTTGAAGAACACTGAATTGTCACAAGACTATCACATCCTTTAAAACACCACACGCCAACTAAACTCACATACTTTGGGATGATCATATTTTTTAATGTTTTGCAATTTTCAAACGCCATGTCCCCTATCTTTTTAACACTTACTGGAATAGTAATATTTTCGAGTCGTGAGCAATTTTTGAACATGAAGTTTCTGATCTTTGTTAATGTATTTGGAAGGTTAATATTCATAAGAAATGGTAAATTTGCAAACACCAATTTCCTTCCAAAAATCACATCTGGGTCAAATTCGATTATTTTCAAATTGGTGCATCCTCTAAAACAATTCGTTCCAATGTATGAAATGCTCTGAGGGAATATAATGGATTCAAGAATGGTAACATCACAATAACATTGACGTGGTATTTCTGTGATACTTTTCCATATTACTATTTCTTTTAACTCACAAAATTTAGCTAAATACTTATCAATAAACCACGCACCTTTCATGGGGACAAATTTGGGGTGTCGAACTAAGTTGTCGCACTTCTCAAGTGCAAAATCATCAATTTCAACTCTGTCCAATGGGGATACTATCTCAACTAAATCAATCATCCCAGAAAATGTCTTATATTTAATTTTGTCAATATCTGTTGTTAGATGTATTGAAGTTATACCTCTGACATTTTGAAAAGCGCCAATTCCCAAATTAGTCAATCCAAGGGGCATATTGAATATTGTATTCTTAACATCTCTTTCTTTATAACCTTTGAAATAGTATTCTCCTATTTGTTTTACCCCTCCTAAACAATTTAATGACACTTTGAATTGATCTCGAACATGACGACCTGATAACACGTAACACGCTTGCCTTTTGAATAATAAGGATGGATCACATGTGTCATATGATTTATAAGAAATACATCTGTTTTCATAACTATATAGAGTATTCCATTCATTGTTAAAAATAAAAGGATCAGCTCTGTCTATTGGGTCATTCACAGTAATAGTATTATACTTAAAACCTTCTACGAAGTAATCAAGATAATAAGATGCAAATGGGTCACCACCTTCTTTATAGTGCATATCACAAACAACCTCGACATTACTCCCAAATGAATCACCAACCGTTTTCACTGATAACGACTTTAATACAATTTTCTGGCGTCCACTAATGAAACAACAAGATCGTAGTTCGTCCAAAGAAAGATTTGTCAAACTATCTGGTAAAAGAAATGTTGAACAATGCGATTCTTTGAGTTCCAAATTTAAAAGATGTAAGTCAGTCATATTAACCTTTTTATAATCAACATTAAAAAGAACAAGTGAAGTCAGTGTTGTCTTATATTTGTACAATGTATACAAGCTATCAGTTTTTAAAGAGACAACTTCGGCGTTAATATTTGAAGTAATTTGAAATGGTGAATTTGGTATAAGAATTAGTTTTTGAGTGTAGTCAACTTGTTGGGATGTAAAACTTAAAAATGCAAGTTCATCTACAAACATCGGATTAACTGATTGGTCTTCTTTTTCGTAATCAAAAAAGTCGACTCTCTCATCATCCAAAACACGTTGATTAAAGATCTGGACATCAACATTAACAATTGTAGTATCTGAACATACAATATTTGTGATGCTCAAAGAACTACAATAAACTCTGTGTGTGTTTGGTGATATCCTAACAGTAAAATCAAGTTTCATATCTGAACTTAACGACAACATTTCAGTTTCAATTTGAGAGGCATCAACATAAGTCACTTTCTTAATACGAATAGTAACTTGAGTGAAACGGAATGCGTACTGATTTGCAATATGTGCGATTTTGTTTATTGAATTCACACCAGTCACTAATAATTTGGGAATACCATAATAAGCAATTGGTGGACAATAAGAAGAAGTTGGCAATAAATCGATATAATTCACTGAATTCAATATAAAATTGCACTTATGAGTCAACTCTTTGAATAAATCTGGGTGCTCTTTCAGATAAGTTTCATTGTATAAATAAACAATGAAATTGAGATAAGGAGAACTTGTTATAAATTCTTTTAATTGATGAAAAAACTTATCAATGTTATTAATTCGAGTGAATATACAGACTTTGTTGAGACTTTTCATGTTCCACAAAAACAGTCGCTGTGGCACTAACACCTCCCATATATATTCGGGATAGTCACATTCATATATGAAAAGCTCTTCACATTGTTCATATTCCATTGAATGTTCAATTAAAAACGTTGCATCAGTTTCATTTCTCACTAAAACCGTTTTTATGTTTGAAAACACATTTGTTTTAGTTTTTGATGTGTTGGTTGATACGTTACAAAAAAATTGATTGAAATTAATTGATCGTTTTCTTTTATTCAATTTATTCCATTTTTTAGCGCTAGGATATGCTATTCTTAAAGAATACACATTGTTGGTTATACTTGGGCAAAAGCTATAAATCACCAATGGGAGGTACAGCGTTTGTATGTTCGAAAAGAGTTTCATGATTCTTCTTATATATCGGGACGCCACATCAACACAATAAGAATTATCTAATAATTCCCAGTCTAAGAATTTGTGTTTTACATACGAATTGATTTTCATTCGGTGTAAAACTTGAACACATTTTGTATTAACACATGAAAAGTTGATAAGCGCTTCAATCGTGTTAATATATAATACTACATTCATTAGAAAGACTTCCTCAATCCTTTTACTCATGTACTCTAATGTTCTTTTTTGATTAAAAGTTTGTTATATTCAAAGTCGTTTTATTCAAAAACAAAAACTTTGAGTCTTGACCTATTGAAAATGTACTATAAATCATAGTTTATAGAACAATATTTTTACATATAAAACCTTAAATAACGTACCATATATTATTATTAAATAAATATTATAATACTATAACTAAAAAACTATATACATATAATTAATAAAATTAATAAATATACTATTTTTTCCCCATCATTTTTTATCGTTACAGAATTTGTTGTTAAAACTTTTAAACCCACATGACACTTCTTGTATTGTCGTTTCTCTGTCTTTCCTCATTTGCGCGATACCCTTGCACCAACGGCGTTTTTGACTTCTCCCCAATGATTGCCTTAAAGTGTGTTTTGTGTGTATCTCCTTTAATTATAAATACTCAATTCTAGTGGTAATTATTATACACTTGACACCCCCGATGGTACTGTTCTCCTCAATTTGTGTGAGCCTCTCAACCTCAATGGTTCTAAAACTCACAACACAGCAATTGTTGATAATGACACCATCACTCCCATCACTTACATCTCCACACAAACAATTTCTGTTTATGACGATTATGTAGTCTTCGAGTACATTCACCCCAATGACATCCGACATCGTGCCAAAGTGACAGTGATGTGTGAAAACACTGCGACGCAACTCACTGCTTTTTCCCAAGAAGCTTCCTTTTATTATTTGTTTGTTTTTTCTTGTTATAATCATCACAATGACACGCAGTACAATGGCCTCCAAATATGCGTGTGTGAAGTCACATCAGTCGCATGAGGTCTCCGCCCTCTTCATGTTTCTTATAGGTATTATCCTAGTCTTTTCCATCGCTCTTCTCCTCTCGTACCTTCCAAACCAATATGAAATCCAAAAAATTGATTAACTGTCTAATTAATTTATTGTGAGTAGTCTTTGATAATATCATTAAGTTTCGCAACTATAACATTAAACTTCGGGCGCTTGCTTTGGTCATGTTGCCAACACTCCGCTATCAAGTCGACAATCCCTCTTGGAAATGGACTATCAGTTAAACTCAACCTCTCGCCCGCACACACCTTTTGTTGGATTTGCGCATTCGACAAGTCTTTGTATGGGACCTCATTGGTGAATATGTGGTACATCGTCATCGCAAATGAATACACATCAATAGGCAATCCATGTTCTTTCATCTCCATTACCTCGGGCGCCATGTACTGATACGTTCCTGGACTTTTCTTGATTAACTCGCCCTTCTTCAATCGGTAAGTAGTTGTCAAGTCGTGAAGCTTCACAGTGCATTTCCCTTCGTTTGTGATGTCGTGATGGACAACTCGTAATTTGCTTGGCTTCACATTTCGATGAATGATATCGTGTGAGCTTAAGTATAAGAGTGCATTGGCGCAGTCAGAACAACACTTCAGTAAGAATACAGTCCCATACTTCTCGGTCTGCATCATAGTCTGCAAATCTTTGACAGTATCTCCGTCAAGTAAGATAGTGGATGACGTTAAGACTATACCTACCATACCTAAAATGTCGGGGTGGTGGATGTCTCTATAGAGATTTTGGATCGAGTAATAATCTTCCATTTCAAATTTGTCCTCCACGTTATATTTGAATGCAACAACATTCTCGTTCTTCACCATGGAAAGGACGCCATCAATCATCCCAACACGGAACTGCTCTTCGTCAGACGCTTTCACTATTTCTTTCTCATTATACGCCGGAACTACACCTTCCAATTGGAATCGCAACGCTCGAACTACAGCATCACCACCCATCAATGCTTTCTTCTTTAAACAAAATTGGACCTGCCCAGTCAACCCCATGGTCGCATATTGATGGAACTTCAATGATATCACTATACTGACACGTTCACCTTTCTTAATGGTGTGCTTGTCATTGTCGACAGTCAATGTATACTTCGGCGACTCAGAAGTCTGAATGGACAACTTGTATGTGGCGTCGGTCTTATTGTAGAAGCCAATGGTCTCTGTCAGTGGTATACCCTGAATGGCGTAATTACTGCCGAACGTCAACTTCTCTACTTTCTTGATGTTAATTGTGATAAACATGTCAAATATATTTAAAACAAACCGGTTCTAGTGTCAGCGCAAACTCGCTGTCAAAAGTCGTTGAGGTTGAATTGCTCAGTGGTTGGCCTTTCGAACTCATCTACAGTATCTACTCTTTTTTTTTAGTTTCGAAAGCTCCCTTCTTTATTTACTTTTCACTTATTAGAACTGAACTATATTTCTCCATCAGAAAAAGTCCTTAAATCAGTGCCCAATTACTTATGAATAACTGGTTTATTAGACAAAGAAAAACAAATAATAAAAGTATTATAAAAAATAAGACAAATCTAAAATAAAAATCTTGTTTGAAATTTGAAAAAAAAAGGAAAAAAAAAAGAATAAAAGAGAAGTTGTTATATTATACTTTAATAATTAATTAATTAATAATAATATTTTTTTTAATTTTAACTGGTTTTGTAGTACAAACTATATTAACAATAACAAAAATATAAATAAAAATATAATTAAATGGTTTATAAACATTAATAACAATACTAGTATAGTTATTAAGTGTTATGGGCGAATTTAATGAATTTTTTTTCAATCACAAATTTTATTTTTTTGACAATTTCTTGAAAGTGAAAATCTGCAGATTTGATGAAGAGTTGACAAAGCGATTCAATCGTTTTGTCATTTACGTAGTTGCCAATAAAAGAAAAGGAAAGTGGTTGCGTATAAAGATCAAACAACAGATATGTTGCATGCTTACAAAATGAAATTGGATAGTTGGTGTGTGTTGAAAATAAATTTTTTAAAAACGTGATACTAAACACAAATAGTTCTTTACACCCATTGTTGTGCTTAATTAACACCTTTAGTAATTTGAATAGTTCACTAATTATATCAAAACAAAGTTCGTTTTGTAATAAAGAAGATTTCTGCGCTATGACACGGACAATTCCAAAGAGTCGAGAGAGAAACAAAACGCATAAATCTTTTTGGTCATAGAGCATATCATATATTCCTTCCAATAACAATATGCAACCAAAACTCATTTTTACATTTGTTATATAAGACAAAAGGTTTCCAAATATGTCGGGAGAGTGGATCACATAATGAGTTCTTCTTATAAAATCTCCAATAGAAAAGACGGCTATTCCTTTTATAAGTTGCACATTAGAATGAATGTACATATTATAAAGAACTTGGAGCTCAAAACTCACACATTTCTCACTTTTATAATACATCAGAAAAACACCCATTAAAAGAGCTATTTGGTCGGGTATCACATTCCATAGAAATTTTATTCTTTTTATTGTTAATTGTATAACATTCTCTTCTTCTACGACTTCTCCCATCTTGTAAATACAATTTCTAAACAACATTATGGCAAGCTTCAAAACATTAACTTTGTTTAATAAAAGTCCTTCAATGAGTTGTAAGTAAATAACCTTCGCGTACTTCGTGTCGAGCTTTTTGATGATTTCAAATACAAGTGTAGTGCAATCGACAATTAGTTTTTCACTAGTTGTGTGAAAGAAAATTGTTAACACCACTTGTACAATTTTCAAGACCACAAAATCAGACGGGGTGACGCGATTGCTTGTAAATACAGGCACAACACTTTTCAAAAAGAAGAGGATGCTTTCATCCCCAATTTCTTTCCATTTATTGACAACATTGAGTACTAAAGACACGACAAAATCACTATCTTCTAAGTCAACTCGTCGTTTAATAACTCTATTAATACCATATAATGCTTCTTTCTGAATAGTGCTCTCTTTGTCGAAGATACAATTTCCAAGTAGAATAACATAAAAGAGGACATTGTCTTTATTGTACTGATGAAGTAATAAATTTGAGAGCGAAAACACTGCACTCCACCGTTTAGCGACAGAACAGTCACTTAAAAACATTTTATGTTTCTCAATTAATAAAGTGATGTTGTCAGAAGGTATTTCACATAAAACTAACTCTAATGTCTCTTTCAAGTAATCGACAGACTCCATTTCTGTTCTCGAGAAGTTGGACTCAAACATCAAATGTGCACAGAAGGTGATTATTAACTCATAGAGCCTTATTGTTGTTTCTGCATCAATTTGTCGCTTCTCGAGACCCATCACAAAGTTCTTGTTCTGTTTACGCACAAGATAAGCCCACACTAACAAACAACACGAAGCTCCTACAGACTCTTTGTGTTGTGTTTTAAGCACAAACTCGTGTTCGGTGAGGGATAAGACCATTTTGCCAAAGTAAAAGAAGTTGGTGTAATTCTCCTTAACAAGAAGAAAGACAGTAGTAAGTCCAATAAATCTAATGTAATCGTTCTTGTCATCCAAAACAGGTTGTAAAATACTTGCGACAAATTGCTTTGATTCTGTGGATGTGAACAGTGAGAAAAATTCATTTCGAATTTCAACTGCTTTTTGAATGCGAGTTGTGACGAGTTTGTCTTGGTAAGTTCCGTTTTTGTTGATCAAGTACGCTTCACATAATAACAAGTACTTTTTCATCTCATTATTATAAGATGAAATTTTCATATACAAGTGTATTCCTCAATCGTTTTCTCTTCACTTTTTTAATTCAACTTTTATTTTTTGTTCATGTTAAATATAATAACTAATAAATAATAATAAAAAAGTGGTTTATAAAAAAGCCAATTGAATAGTAATAATGGAATAGGAAGAAACTATTCACTTATTCCCACTGCATTGCTGAAATTTCTTTGTAATTGATGGTGTCCTCCCCAGTAAATAAACAACTACTATATTGTGTTGTGTCGTCATATTTCTGATTGAAAAAAGGGGATACTACAGACTTCCCGTCGTTTTTTATTGAGAAGCACTTCTTTATTTCAAGAACGTTGGTGTGATCATTGTTTGGGAAGACACAAAGTGTCATCCCTTTCTTTTCTTTTCTCTTCAACGCAGTCGGCTCCGTGTTGAAAGGATTATTTAAAGTGAAGACAAAATGTTTTGAAGTGTCTTTCACATACTCTGGGTGGGGTTTTGGAGACGGAATAAGACCAGAAATGAACGCACCAAAGCTATATCCTTCATTTGTTATTATTAGAAACAATATATTTTTCTTCCCACAAATTCGTTCATTGATTATTTGTGTCGACACACCATCTTTTAAGCTATTGTATATCTCTCCTCCATGTTTAAGTCCAGTCCATTGAGCAATAGTGGTATAATATTTTTTTGTGATACTTTCTGTGGTAGCCATACCAATTCAATCAACCAGTTTTTAATATCCATCAGTTCTTCTTCAATTCAAGAACTGTTGGCTTGGTTTTAATCACTCTCTTATTTATAGACTCTACTTTCTGGTTTATATTTATTTAATTTAAATTTACTAATAAAGATATTATAATTATAGAAACACATTCACACAAATATTCAAAAATGTAGGTGTTTTTACTATTTTTAAACTAGTTCTTGTTCTTCACAAAACATTTAAGGTTTTATTTTTAATTAAATTTACTATATTGGCACAACTAAATATAAACTAGAATTAAATTAAAAAGTAATTATACATATATATATACAAACATGTGGTGTTAGTTCTGAGACAAAATGAATAACTTCTCATCCCTCCCCGCATATAACACCTTCTTCTCGTTGACCATCGTCCCATGACGAAACAGGTTACCCTGTTAGTTCGGTTGATCATTTTTACTCTTGCAATGCGCCTTTCGGAAACCTCATCTCTTCGAAATTTCCTCCAAAGCACTGCTCTTGATTTTTCAAGTTCTTTTGATTTTTACTCAATACAACTTATAGTTAATTTAATACTATTTTAACTAATGTGTGTTCTATTGAAAATGACTAGTATTTTTTATTATTTATTATTATTTAAAAACAAGTCAATAAAACAAAACTATATTTAGTAGTTTCGTTATGGTATTTTATTGTATTTTCTTTTTACGGTCTCTGAGAGGAATTGTCTGAGGATAATTCTCTGGGAATAAAGCAGAGAGGATGTTGTTCCAGAACCCTCTGTCATATATGTTGATCAACTTATAAGGGTCGACCAAGTCAGTTTTATCTTCGTCTTTGTCATCTGTGGTACTATCGCTATCTTCTTTATCGCCAGACATTTGTCGATCAAAAGCAGAGTACATTCTATCCCATTTGACCTTCTCGTTTGTCGTCTTGCCGCTCCCCATTATCCAAATCTGGTTCAAGAAAAACACAAAGACAGCTATACCCATCACAGAACAAAACACTATCATCATCATTGTGTATCTCAAGTAATTCAATATGATCTATTTAGTAAGTCGTTAACAACGAATACCTCAAAATTAGAACAAACAGCAATCATAAGAGAAAACGATACCTCAATGCACTCATATGATAACTCCAAGTGGGGGTGAGGGCCTAACAAGTTATGGTCAGCCAAGAAATATTTGATTGCAAGAATGCAATAATATGTCACTATAAACATCGATATGGACATCGACAACATGAACCCAACAAAGTATTTGCAATTCTTCTCCCCAACACACTGGTTTAACCATGGGCCTTTCTGTTACTCTTGTATAACGATGAATTGTTGTCTGTTAAATATTTAAGACACAAACAGTGATGATCAAATCGCGCAACACACTTCCCACACAACTTGCAGTGTTTACTTCTTGCGACTTTTGATGTTCCACATGTGCTACATTTTTGGTTCTCTTCAAATAAGATATTATCACATGGATATCGACTTTCATAAACACTTTGATTTCTCTTTGTGACATACCCCGGCGTCGTTTTAATAGCGAGGTAATAGAAGATCATTGTACACATAAACTGTCCGTGTTGCCATAACAACCAATACCCTTTACTATTCAATATTCTCATTGGTTCAACTGCAAGGGCAATATATCCGCCAAGGACTAATACCATTAAAAATGCCTATCCGTCATCTATTATATATTATTTATTATTTATAATATACACAACTCCTACTCAACAAACTATAAATATCGGGTTCTTCCTCCCCAAGAAGTACTCCAACGCTTTCGTTCCAAATGCATTTGGTCCATAGACAGAGTCGTATAATTTGTAGACTACACTGTCCTCTCGGGCTCGGCCTCCTACAAAAAAGAGCAGCATAAAAAAGCCAAACCCAATCACAAACAAAAGACAAATCGCAAAAAGCATTGTTCCCCTTTTTCAGTTGTCTTTTGCTTCTCATTTTTTTGTATCAGTCTTATATGGCTTTTTTTATTAGCGAATATCAATATATTATTTTTTTGTAAAACGACGTTTAATTACTTTTTTGTTATCATGTTTTTAATAAATTTATTAAAATTAACTCATTTATTAAAATATAACCAAATTTATTATATTGAACCTTCTTATTGTAAAATTTACTATAATATATCAAACACACAGAATCGTTGGAATTTATACATCGCAAACATCATCATCGTCATCATCCAAGACCACAAAATGTCCTTTTCCACTCTTTTTCTTGGAACTGTCTCCTTTCATCATCTGTAAAATTCGTTCTTCTTTGGAACTTCTAATTTGAGTACAACCCCACCCGCTCCGACCACGCAATTCATTTCTTTTTCTCATAGTACAAACATCACACCCAGAGCATTCAGCCTCCTCAAACTTCTCACCAAAGTAGTTGAGTTGCGCAACTCGTCTGCACTTCTTGTTTTGACACAAGTCGATCATTGCATTCAAACTCCGCTCAACGACCTTCTCAATATTCTCTGGCTTCCCTCCACTCTTCAACCAAATGATCTTTTTGACATCGACTTGTGAGTAATACACAATGCACTCAGACGGTTTCCCGTCTCTCCCAGCTCTCCCACTCTCTTGGAAAAATTGTTCAACTGACGACGGCATTGTCTGGTGTATCACAAAACGGACATCAGCCTTATCAATCCCCATCCCAAACGCAACAGTCGCACAAACAACATCATACGTTCCTTTCATCCACCCGTCTTGAATACTTTTCCTCTCTTCAGCCTTCATCCCAGCGTGATAATACTCACTCTTGATCTTACTGCTCTTAAGACTCTCGTCCATCTTTTCACAATCCTTTCGACTGAAACAGAAGACTATCCCACATTGTCCAGCGTGTTCTTTGATGTACTGAATAATGTCTGTAACGCATTGGTCTTGGCTTGATTTGTACTTAATTTGATACGTCAAGTTCACTCGATTGAATGTTTGATTAAACACAAGAGCTTCTTCTAGCCCTAAACTGATCAAAACATCGTTCTTCACTCTCTCCGTTGCTGTCGCAGTAAACATAATGGTCTGCACCGACGGAAATTTCTTTCGAAAGTCACGAAGCTTGACATAACTCTCTCGAAAGTCGTGACCCCACTGCGACACACAGTGCACTTCGTCAATGACCAAATAAGAAAAAAGCCCCTTTTCGTTGATCTGTTTCATCAACGAAATGAAATTACTCGACATGTCCAGAAGCTCTGGCGCAACGTACACAACTCGGTACTTCCTCCGATTGAATCGGACGTCTTCCTCAAACAACTTCATATTTTGTGGACTATTCGAGTTGCATGTAATTGCTTGTATCCCAATGTTGTTGAGTGCTTTGACTTGATCTTGCATCAGTGATATCAGTGGCGAGACAACAAGGGTGTATCCGTCTTTAAATAACATTGGAAGTTGATAGCACAACGATTTCCCACCTCCTGTAGGCATCAATACAAGTACATTGTGTCCAGCCAATATGCAATTGATCACCGGGTATTGCAAGAGTCTTAAACTCTTGTGGTGAAACACTCCATTCAGTACTTGATTGACTTTATCTCTCCACTTAAATTCGCCTCCCCACCAATTGGTGTAAATCGAGTAGTAATATCGATTGGTCGACTGCACTGTCTCCGGTATTTTGTCATGCTTTTTAAATGGCTCGTAAGAGCTCTTGGCCTCCTCAGCCTTCCACGCGTATATCCTCCCGATTTTGTCGTTGAGTCTCAAGACGTCCTTTATTTTAATTCCTTTTCGTTCCTCAATGACTCGAATTGACCGTCTGACTTCCTCTCTGTCGTACGCAATTTGCCGGATCTTTTCAAAGTTCTCGTCATTGATTTCTATAGTGCGGAGTTCGGCGGTCTTGTCTTCTTCGCTTTGTCTGAGCTTCAGTTCGTCTTCTTCAGTGTATGTCTTATCCTCTGCTGGGTTGTGATCTTCCGCGAAGTTAAACTTCTTCCTGTGGTCGATAAAATCGTCCAAGAGACTAGATGACCTCTTTGGGATATTCCTGGTTTCGTTGTCGATGATTTCAATTGAGTCAGTCCGTTTGAAAATTGGCGTTCTCAGTTGCATCGATTCCATTCTTTGTAATTCGTCGGTACTTTCTGCTGGTAATGTGTTTTGTCTTTGGAGGGCGTTATGTTTCTCGCACTCCATTAGTATCGAATCCAAAGAAAGATCTTCAGTAAATCCAATCTCATCATTTTCATCGTCTTCTACTTTCTTTAGTACCGGAATTATAATCTTTGGTTTCTCAGCTACTTTCTCTAATTTACTTTCTTTAGTTTCCGGAACTATACTTTCTGGTTTCGCTGTTGTATTGAGTTTTTCATCTTTCTGGCTTTTCAATGTGTCTTGGCTGAGTGCTGGTGTTTCTCCCTCTTTAATTTCTCTTGCCTCATATACCGTTTCCTCTGAAGTTAATTCTGACCCAGTCTCCAACGCGTCGACGTCTATCGCAGAGATTCTATCTGCAAACGTGTCTGGGCTCATATTTTCCACTACGCGCTTGTCAATGATCCCTTCGTCTTTTTCCATGTTTGGAGTTTTAGTCTTTGTTGGCTTAAAGTCTTCGTCGCAGTCTATAAAGCCCCTCATCTGCTTCTCTTTCCTTTTCAGTTTCCTTTTTTAAAAAGTGATGGTTGTCTCCTTTCTTAGGTTTCTCCTATCTTTTCTCTTGTTTTTTTTATCGGAATTCAGATGGTAATACCTTTCTGATATTTCTTGGTGCAAATTTAG